GAACTTGTCAGTTTAGTGCCTAAAGGTGAACACAAGAAACTTAACTGCCATATAATCAAACAGGCGTTGGATACATCTGAAAGACCGGATCTTGCCAATGCGAAAATCGTCGTTTCTGGAGGTAAATTTTTTCAGCAATTATGTTTCGGGTTTTTTACTTTATCTGCGTTTAGGACGAGGGCTGAAAAATAAGGAGAATTTTAAAATTGTTTATGACCTCGCCGATGCTTTGGGAGCAGCTGTAGGTGGCTCTAGAGCTGTAGTTGATGCCGGGTTTTTGTCCAATGACTTACAGATTGGTCAAACTGGAAAGATCATTGCCCCGGTAAGTTTTACTTTAGTAAAGATGATACTGATAATGAATCAGATGCGTCAAGAAAAGGCTATTCTTTGTCATGTTGTAGTTTATTTAGCTTGTGAACAGAATGACAGCTAGTTTAGTGGTGGTATTTCTAGTTGTGCGTAGTCCTTTGCACGGGAATGTTGTGAAGCTTTATCCACTTGCAGTATTACCCGTTTTGAGAGGCCGTTCTTCATAACTGTTTGGTCGTTTGTACGAACTACGTTATCATCTCACTGATCGATCTACATTTGTGGTCATCGTTTTCTTTCAGTCTCCAATCATCTTCCCTTCTAACAGATGTCTTGAAACCGATTTCCTCGTTAGCGTAAACTGCTAGCCTTAAAATTGATGGTGCACTTATTTCGGTTCCTTCGATTCCTTTGCTCAGTTTATAGGAGGGATGTGGCAATCTAGCAGTGTAACACTCTAGGCTTTTTACAGCTTAAAATCCGTGATGCTATTATATTTATCATCACTAGAGCATCTGAACATTAACACTGTATTGCTCAGCGTAATTCCACCAGCTGCTTTGTTGGGCATAATTGCACCATTATTTTCTTTTATGCATAAAGATCATTTATACAAGCCATAGGTTGATGATATTTGAGCATTTATAGGGCATTTACGTAAGTCAAACAGCTGTAATATACCCGAGCACTCTTTTGCTTGTTAAAATGCTACTTCTTATGATTTACCACAAAAATCTGTAAATGGTTTCAACTGTTAAGAATACATTAAAAAGCATGATTTTACTTTTGCGGTTGGCTTAGTCTTCTCCTACCGTCAAATTCTTGTAAACGCCATGTTGGCAGTTGGGCTTACGTAAGACACGACAGTTTTGCTTTGATCACTTTTGAATCACTTTTCATTTTGATGCCTGATGACGCGTGTGAGAACGTTTTGAAGTAGGCATTCTCAGTAATTAAGTTGGCTTTTTGTTGTTGCTTTAATTAAAATTCTAATTATGGCTCAATTTATGTTTTTAAAATTTGTTTCGACGTTACATTGACATCGAAATATATTGATTAGCTGAGTATGCCTGTTAACGCATCATTCCTTTATGATCATATTTCATGACGTATTGCCCTGACCCATTTTTCCTAACTTCTTGAAGGAGGGAGACATTTCAGCTGGTAAGACTCAGTAACACTTCAGCACCTGCAATACCAATTAAAACGCCCATCATTTTGTTTGCTAAAGCCACCTCGCACTCGTTAAGAACGATGTTGCAGTAGCTGGCTATCCTTATATACTTCCGCGTTAATATCGTAAGCTGTTCTTACGCTGTTGTTAAGTCAAATAATATATAGCCCCTTCAAGACCAGACTGACAGGTCATATTAGACCATATGTTTCAGATCAGCGCGGTTCCGTAATATTATGTTTATCATGTGAAAGTGGTGGACGGAGATTAGGGACAAAAATACGAACGAGCATTTGCTACGGCAGAAGACGTTCTTACAGAGGTAGGTGGTCTGACCTGACGGATTCATCCCTGTCGTTGTGTTGAACTTCCAGGTGCCTAGCTTTCTTAATGAGGCATTTGCAGGCGATGGATATATGTCTCCGTACTGCTTTGCAGATGTGACAAGAACGATTCGAAAGTCAATAACCGTAGTGAAAGCATTATTTTCATAACGTACTATTTTAGATGGCATATTCAGCCAAGATGCTAAATGCTGCAGTGTTAATTTATATAATTGGAAGGGCTATTCAAATTCATTATTATTTAATTTGCATGCGGGGCTACTACTCTCAGGCTTTCAAACTTTTAACGGCGGTTACTTCTTTATTGTCGCAGTTATCATTGTTGTATTGGTTCCTCTGTTTGAATTGTACTTGCATCAAAATAACTTCAGAAACGTAAAGCGGACATCAGAAACGTAAAGGGGATTTCTGACGCATTTCACTGTCTGTTAAGAGCATATTCTTCGACAATCAAAAGTATAGCGTTTATGTTTCAGTATTTACTAGAACATCTTCAAATCTGTCATGTTTTTTCCACCACAGAACTATTCATGAATTGGTTCCTCGCGTAGAATTTACTGAGAAGCTGATGGGTTTCTGTTGCCAAAGGTGTCGTTAGAGAACTTGAATATTTGAGTTCTTCCGTCCTTGTTGCCACTTAAACATTTCTGTTTGCCACTGCTATAATGTATACTCAATGGCATAATCCTTAATGCGTATAAATGAGCCGACGACCTAGTTTTCTGACGGTGCTACAGCGTTTTCGATCGATTCATTGTTTCGATTTCTTACAAATGAATCGATATCTTTCAGAGTGCGAACATTATAAAGCTTGTTGTCATGCTATCTGATAAAAACAGATATTTGTTAAGTGTTTATTTGAATTTTCTTCTTTTAATACCCTTTTTTGTTATGATGTTTTCTCAAAAGTTGCACGCTTCCA